TGTCTTCCGACGGCCGCCGATTCTGGGGACCTTTTCTTCCCACCCCCGGGCAGAGTGCGGCCACGGCGTCGGCGCTCCGCGCCCCGAGCCTAGGTTAGCGTTCGCGGGGACCCTCTTTCCGCTTGGCCCGGTGCCGGCTCCCTGCGGGCGGGGGTTCACGCGTCCGCCACTGTCCACAGCGCCCTCCCAGGGCTGGGTCTCCAGGCGCCGTCGGGGACCAGGCGCATCAGCATCCCCCAAACGCGTTAGAAACGCCAGTTTCCAACCCCAGCCCTGAACCCCAAACTCCGAGAATCGGGGCCCAACAGTGTTTAAGAAGCAACCCTGGTGACTGATAGACGTGCAGGTGAGAGGCGCTGGTCCAGAACAGACGATAAATGTTGGATGGGAGGCTTCCCAACGCCGCCCGAGCCTTCAGTTTCAAACATCAAGCCACCCGCCGCTCCTGGACTCCCTTTCAGAATACCTGCCGCTGTTCAGCGAGGGAAACCTTAGCCGGGGAGCGCTGTCCTGGGCTGGGCTTCGCGGTGCCGAGCGGGAGTCGCGAGGCCTCCTCCCCGCCGCGCTTGCTCTCCCCGTGACTTCGGAAATGCGACGTGGAAAATGCCTCCGCTTTGAAAGCCAAGTTCTCTCGTGACAGCTCTTAGGCGGTTGAGAGCTGGAGCGGTGAATCTGCTTTCCCAGCTGTCGGTCATAAGCAGTCGCTCCCAGACACTTGCGTACGCGGTTCCTGCCTGTACTGAGGCTGGAGCTGTGCGTAATTAGGCGGCTGTTTAGGATCTGGACATAAAAGGGCCTGGGTCGGGAGACCAACCAACGGCAAGTTCACCTTTTGCTTTTAAGAATCTGATAGCTGAAGGCTTGGGTGACAGACAGCGTGCTGGGGTCTAGTGAATGTCCCCTCTCACCTCCCTGTTTTGGCAGGAAAGCAGCAAGGTGGAGTCACCTAGGGAAGTGGAAGGGAAGGGGTGACTTCTAAGGGCTGCTTGAGTGTTGACTCAGCAGTGTCACGCTGGATATACTATTTTACTTTCCCCCTTGACATAACCCCCTTCCTCAACCCAAAATGCTTGGATTTCCTTACAACTTCCGACACGACTGGCCTCTGCTCACTTGTTTTGTGTGTGTGCGCACTCTCAGGTGCAAATTCCCNTTGTTTTGTGTGTGCGCGCGCTCTCAGGTGCAAATTCCCAAACTCAGTTTTCCTGTCCTGTCAACTCCTGGTGGTCAGAGGAGACAAAAACCCAGGGGAGCCTCACCAGAGTGTGTTTAGCCACAACTCTTGAGCTTTAGTAGCTCAGGACCTGCTGGACTATTTGTTAGGAACTGACATAAACAAACAAAAACACCAGTTTTAAACAGCCTATGTCGAAACATCTGATATGGTTTACTAGGCTCTTTAGGATAAATTAAAACATTTTAAGATAAATGAGTGTTTTTTTGGTATAATTTTGAGCATTTACCTAGCTATGTTGACAACACACACATATATTTGTGGAAATATTTTTAAAGATTGTCTCTACAACAAGGAAGTAATTGTGATGTAGTGAAAAGAACTTTGGATTGTTAACCAGAGAGTCTGGATTGGAATGTGGGCCCTGCCACAGGCCAGGTCTATGGTCTTGGACGCACACATATACACACACACATATACACACAGCATTTTGTATACAATTTTATGAGAGGTGGGAGGCGAGGCCTCGTGAGGTTCATTATTCATAAACCCCAGGCTAAGAGCCTGTCAGAACTCATTCTTGGCTACTATTTAAAGACATCCTTCAGTGCATCTTACTAATTACCCCTCACTTATCTGACTGGGAATCCAATATAGTGGAAAGAACACTGCACTGCAAGTCTGGACAGATAGGTTCCAGTTTAGATTTCATCGATGAGTCACCATGTCACCTTGAGGAAACCCTGATGTCTGTCTATGCCTAGTTAGAGAATGTTTGTTGAGGGCCTAATGTAGGTCAGACATATTCTAGATGCTGGAGATGTATAAATCTAGGGATGTGTCCTTAATGCGTTTCCAGTTTTGGTTTACAAAAATGTATATTTATAATCTCCTGTCTTTTAAACATCACAGTATGTCATGTAGGTGTTTCAGTATCTATTGTACATGAGGTGAGTGAGAAGGATATTCTAAGGTGAGCACACTCAGAGAGGCAGTGCGCTCAGTGGTTAAGAGCAATGTGGCCTCTGGAGTCACATTTCCTGAATCCCTGTCTTGGCTCTGTTGTGTATGACATATGTGACTTGGACTTAATCTCTGTGTGCTGCAGTTCCTTACCTGTAAAATGAAAATAATGATGAGTTAATACATGTAAAGCATAAAACAAGTACTAAAGCATAAAACAAGTATTATACAAAGTACTTATATAGTAAGTACCTGATAAAATTTTAATTATTACTTGAAAATGAGGAAGCTCAATGTCAAATTCAAACTTTGGGCTACTAAGTAATAGCAGTACAACTAACATTGAGCTTACTAGATGCCAGGCACCTTCTAAGAGCTATTTTTCTACTAAATCACTAGTCCTCATAGTAGGCAGTAATAGCAGGCCCATTTTACAGATAAAACAAGCCAAGATCACACTGTTAGATTAGTAAATTGAGCTTGGATTCAAAGTCAGGCAAGCTGATTCTGGACCACTCTTAACCGTAACACTTTGTTGTTCTGTGTGCAGTTTACTGTACCTTAACATTTTACAAATAATAAAATACATGTTCATGTAAAAATGAGATGCACTATATATTTATACCCTAAGAAAAGACAGCCTCCAGGATGATTCTGAGCTATTTGTGTGTTGGATAAAATATGTCTAAGCTGGAAATAAAAGTTGGAGTATTTTCTGCATTATAGAATAAAATAAATTACTCTTGGCAAATGTTTTCAGGTGAAGACTGAACGCCAAGTAATTGACCATAAAGGCTATTTTATGTCTACTTCTGAATCTTTTTTTACCACTTCTTAGCTGTGAACTTAAGTGTGTTATGAAATTATAACAATGTTGTGAAAAACAACCACCTAAATATATAACTTACCTTTTCTATCTTAACAAGGAACAGTTTTTAATATTTTACTTTATTATCCCAGCTTTGGGTTTTATTCTAGTGTTTGCTTACCTACATACTTAGCATTTTTCATCTTTGTATAGATAAAAGTTTGCATTCTACTTGTTTGGCCTATGCTTCTGGTGTACTAGTATATGACAGAAGATATTCCTCTATTAAAAAGCTTTTAAGAACTTCTGGCACTTCCAATTTTTGGCTTAAAGCTAGTATTAAAGATTTATTTTCCTTCCATTAATATTGAGAAGCAAAGCTTTAAAGAACATAGAATGTTTGTTGGGTAACCTTAACAAACCACGTCATATTACTGCATCAGTTTTTCTATAAGAATCATGTAAATAAATGATAACATCTTAAATTCTGGAAGGATGTCTCTATTTCATTATACAACTTATNACATCAGTTTTTCTATAAGAATCATGTAAATAAATAACATCTTAAATTCTGGAAGGATGTCTCTATTTCATTATACAACTTATATTTATTATATATTCTTGTTAGGTAGTCACTCTGTCATGGAGCTCCTCAGTTCTGACACATTTAAGTAGTAAGTTCTAGTACATTTTCCCTTGGAATTCTCATCTGCTCATAGGGAAGGACTATATTTAACTTCAGGGCATGTGAACACTTAAATTACTAAGGTTTTCCTTCGTTACAGGGAGGAGCTGCTATCTGTTCTCTTACTGTAACTGTTTATATAGGAATACCAAAAAAGAAGTAGATGTAACACCATTTCTCTTCTAATCAACAGGACAGTTCTGGCATGTGACTGACTTACACTTAGACCCTACTTACCACATCACAGATGACCATACAAAAGTGTGTGCTTCATCCAAAGGCACCAATGCCTCCAATCCTGGCCCTTTTGGAGATGTTATGTGTGATTCTCCATATCACCTTATTTTGTCAGCATTTGATTTTATTAAAAATTCAAGACAAGAAGCATCTTTCATGATATGGACTGGGTAAGTTAATATATATAAATACCATGAATTAATCAATATTTATCTACAGTGTCTTAAGCTTCATTAGACTATTGAATTCCATAAGATTAATTATGTTTTAAAAATTACTTGAGTTTAAAAAATACTAGGTCAAGCTAATCAACATTATTAGAGAGAATAAAAAATTTTAGAATTGTGGGTTTTTTTTTTTTTTGAATACGTGTTCTAGAAGTATGTCTATGTTAAATTAAAACATGAATCCATAANGTTTTTTTTTTTTTGAATACGTGCTCTAGAAGTATGTCTATGTTAAATTAAAACATGAATCCATAAATAGCACACTTCTACCAGTGTTTTGATATACTTATTAATATGATGAAAGTCTTGATTAAATAATAAAAACAAATGGCAACAATGGGAATTAACATAGCAATTTTGTAAACAGTATCCTCTGGTCCTATAATTAAATAATGCCATCCATTATGATAGAGCAAAGCCTATATATTCTGTACCTGAAATAGTTACTATAGCACTATTTTAATTCATTTATATATTACAACTCATTTATTCTTTACAATAAACATTATTATTATCTCCATTTTACAGATGAGGAAATGAAGGCACTGAGCACCTAAGTAACTTGCCCAAGTGCACACAGCTAGTATGTGGCAAAGCTGGGATTTGAATCCAGGCATTTTGGCTCTGGAATCTGCTTTTAATTTACTAAATTTTTTAAAAGTTTTTTATAAATCTGTAGTTAGGCAGTAAAATAGGCTGAGATTTCTAGTTTATCTTTTGTAATTACACAACTTTTAAAGTAAGATTCTTTGTGGGAGAAAGGTAAATGAAGAGTAGTTCATCAACTCTTTTCACTCTCATCTGTTGTTTTATGGTGGAGGTCTGCAATGATAGTACACAGTAAGGCATCACGCATGAGTCTAGTCACTTTTTATGGAAACTGACTTTCTTCTCTATGATTCTTTCTCATTTTCAGAGATAGCCCACCTCATGTGCCAGTGTATGAACTCTCAACAGACACAGTCATAACTGTGATTGCTAATATGACAATCACTGTCCAGAGTCTCTTTCCAAATCTCCAGGTTTTCCCTGCACTGGGTAATCATGACTATTGGCCACAGGTAACTTTAACCTTAACTTCCAGAAGTGCTTAAAGGATTTTCCCATCAATAGTGTCAAAATCATGACAATAACTAGCTGATGGTAGGCTGTGGGAGTGGGGCTCATGGAGGCAGAGTGTGTTCTTAATGCTAACCATCAAGGAAGGCAAGATGAATGTTTTGAAGACTTTAAAGTGATTCTTAATAATTCATAAAATATGATGTCCATGATGAGTTTTTGGAAACACATTACCTAATTTGTGGACTATTAATTTTTGTTTTCCTTTGTAATCTTCCTTAATTTCTCCTTTCTTTGGAGTAATTTTGTCATTTGTTTGTATTTCCATGATAAAGATAGCAAGGAAGGTTAATGTTGACAAATGTTTGCGTTTTTTTAGAATTTTAATTAGGCATACAAAGCTCTCCACCCTCTAATCTAAGCTAGATTGGGATTAAAAACTTTAAAAACACAGCAAACTATTATAAGAACCAAAGAGGGACGTTCTTGTTCGGGTCCAGTTTATCTAATTAAGATGTGATTCAAGGCAGAGATTATAATCAGAATATTTAATGCTTGATGCAGCTGAGTTTCAGTTTATCAGAGCAGCTGTTTGTTAAGCAGCCTGTGCATGGCGGCTGGGTACCAGCCTTGGTTTCAGGGTTTTATCATAGTACTGTAGAATCTTAGATTTGTACAGATTCAAGAAATCTCAGAGGTTATTGTTTAGTCCAGAGCTTGACAAGCTAGGGCCTGTGGTTCAAATTGGCTTGCTGCCTGTTTTTATAAATAAAGTTTTATTGAAACACAGCTATGCCTATTCTTTCTGTATTGCCTATGGCTTCTTTGAGCCAAGGGCCGAGTAGAATAGTTATGATAGAGATCGTATCACTCCTGAGCCTAAACTATTTATTATTTTGGCCTTTGTAGAAGAAGTTTGCTGACCCTGGTCTAAGTTTACTCTTCATTTTATAGATGAGAAAACTGAGTCCTAGAAATGTTAACTTGCTTGTTCAAGTGCTTACAATCACTTGGGGCAGAGCCCACGTCCTGCTTATTTTGTTTGACCAACATCCTGTCACACATCCCATATTCTTGCCAGACTAACATAGTCAACATCTCTAGAACATGATGTTTACTTTTCCCCTCCCCTCCCCCTCCCATCCTCT